CGGGGGAGCGCAGCCGGCAGGGCTTCGCCAGCCGCCGAGCCAGCCGCGCCGGACAGAGGCAACCCAGAAAGTTAAATAAGGCAGTGAAAGGAAACTCCATTCCAACGGTCTTACATTAGGCCGTGCAAAACGGGAGCCTCAGGCTACCTAACAACGTCCACAGCCGTTGAAACTGTAGGTTCGTCCTACGGTGGGGTCTGTCTGAACCGAATATTCAGGAGTCAGGCTCCGAAACCACTGGGGTTTCTGAGCCGGGGAATGAAAAAGCAGGTTGGGCCCGGGGCCGCTCCTGGGCCCCTAGGAGTAGCTTTCATTTTCGTTCCACCTCGTGACCCACTGCTTTTTCTCCGGGTTGTCGCTGTGTTTTTCGTCGTTGATCTCCCGCTCTTCTTTGGGGATCTTTACGGCCTGGTATCGGGGGATGCTGTCGTCGTACCTAGAGCGTCTGAAGAATCCACACTGGAGAAGGGGGACACAAACAGGAGCAAATGAAGCGATCGCAAGGAAAGCACGTGCACCACCCGGGGATACTTAGGCTTTCTGCTAGGACGCCTACCTCTGGACTAAAGAAAAAGACATGGCTTTCCTTGAAGGAGCTAATGGTTGAAAAGAAATGTTAACAGCCAGTGGGGATAAATGGAAGAGAAAAACAGCTGTGAAACTGGAAAAGTCTGTTTTCCCATCTTGTCTTTACATTTGGAAACAATGTAAGTTATCTCCTTACTAAAATTTAAGTTTATGAAACAGTGCTCCCATTTTTTTTAATCATCACAATACTATATGTAAAAGAGCTAATTTTCAGATTATTAGAACATCATTTTGAAGAATAATTTTTAAGGCCATAAACCAAAGGTTATTCATGCCCCTCTCCCACTAACAGAATGAAACTCAGGTCACAGATATTTTACAAATTACAGTTTGAACATGCCAGCGTTCAAATGGGTCAATTTAGGAATCTTCTCCCTTCCGAGGCTCCAGGACACAGCTCTAGCTAGAAGGCAATTTACAACACCTGGACTTGCTGTTGTGCTTCCAAATTAAGCTGTTTCGTTAATAAATCATGTAGTAACTCTGTCCTGTAAAAAAAATCAATCCTGTACAACAAAGAACTTGAGGAAAGTATCATCAGACTGAATTTCAGAGCACTGCCTAATTTCTCTTTTTTTAAATGAATATTTTATTCATTTTTTAAAAAATAGTCAATATGATTCAAAGTAGATTTTTACTGATAACATATCTGGGTATTTAAATATCAGATTGAATATTTTAAATGAATAAAATATATATGCCTTTTAAAAGAAAAAATGTTTCCAATTCAAAAATGCAGATAGAGGCATGAGGAGGATACTTAGAATGGCTGATTAATGTGTTTATTCCGTGAACTCAACAGGAACAACATTAATATTGAATGAATTTATGTTATAAGAATGTCAGGGGCAAAATAAAATCACATATATAGTTATCACTGAATCAAAAGGAATAATGGGCCAAGAAATTTTGTTCTAAGGCCATTTCAACATGGACTCCTTTATTATTCTGTGCAAAAAAAGCCAAAATACCTATCTACTACAAAATGTGGCTCTCGCCCCACTGAAATAAAGAAGGAAATCAAGGGTGATATGCAACAATTAAATGGAGATGTTGGGATTCACCGTGACAGTGCCATGGAAAGGGACTGGAAAGGGAGGGTAGGAGCAATTCTACCCACTTGTGCCCACAGAAATGGAAAAAGGAATCATGGTCAATTCCTGTTTCCATAGATTTACAAACGAGAGAAGCAAACATGAACTTAAATCAACTGAGACCCAAGGTGGAATCAAATCTCAAGGAATATGAAACAAGGTCAAAGTCCATCACAACACGCTGAAATAGGAACTGTCCAGAGCATTTTTGTGCTAGAATTTTTTGTACTGAAGATCACACTTTGGTAAAGAGCTATCTTTTGCAATTGGCCGTAATGTCCATCATGCCAATAGTCATAGGTGGTTGTAATGGTCTCTGACCTGAAGTAGATATGCAGAAAAGGAAGGTGCATGCTTAGCTTGCATAAAACCACTTCTGAGCAACAATAAAAGCATTCCTAGCCTTCCCCCATCACTTTATAGCAAGGAGATCAAACGATGGCAGTGAGAAAGCCTTCTCATCAAGAGGATCACCGTGTTCCCAACATGCACAGGTTAATTAGGCGGTCAACACAAGCGTCTATCTGTAGGAAATTCCAAAATGGACAAGAAATCGGGAGTGATTTCTCATGCATCTTTGAAATTCCAAGTGGGATGCCGCATACTAAATTAACAACATGTGGCAAACTGGGCTACTAAGCCTCCTTTTGTGTGTATATAGATTGCAGTTTTCTTCATTGCTGTGGGTGATGTTTAACAATAATAACAACACAAAATAACTCACCTGTAACGAATGATTCTTTGTGCATTAAAAAAAACTAAGCTTTCAAGTGAAATAAAAATAATTCCAAGCAAGGCAAGCCAGTGTGGACATTTGGAAACATCTGTTAATGGGACACACACAGCAAGCTGTTGCTCTTAAAGTTAGCCACCACAACCATAGCAGGTCCCACAGCTAGCAATTAAAAAACATTGATCAATTACCAATTACAGAAGTAGATCACTACTATGCATCAGAAGTAAGCCTTTCTTTATCAGACGGCTGAGCATGGATCTCAGCCTTGTGATATGTGGCATCATAATGATCTTTCTTATTTCTCTTGAAGAAACCACACTACAAGGAAGCAAGGTATTTAGTCAGTTTTACAGTTTTGTGAAGAGCTAAACAAAAGAAAATCTCAGATTTTAATCTGTTTTCTAGTCATAGCTTGTTTACAAAGAAACCACTATGGATCAACCAAAAGTGAACAGCCACTGCACTGTTACTTTTGGACAGCAATCAGCCCAACTCTATTACCACAGGTCTCTGATCAAATGTTTGCATGGGTGACATTAGTCAGTTAATTGATTTTTCTATTTGTAACAGAAATCACGAGGACAAAAATCATCCTAAATGGGAAAATATATACACATCTTATTATAGCTTTGGGTGGTTTCTTCTTACAGAAAAATATGGACCCTAAAATAGGTCTAATGTTGCCTTCTGCAGTTTACTGAGACAAAAGTTAAAGAATAAATACTCTAAGATTTAGCACAAATCCAAATAAAACAGAGATACTGTATTTTTCTGCTTTTCACAATAAATTTTAGGGAACAAATGCCATCTACTTGAGGCCTTTGAATCTGTGGGGTGAGTCACAATATAAATCAAATATACCATCATGAAAGAATGATTACAGTCATTTTCCCACATTCTGAGCCACTTTGTAACTCTGAAGTGGTAGGAACCTACGCTCCTCAGGTTAGGTACTCTAAATGGGTATCAAAATATAATTCCGCTTTCTACTATAATTTCTTTCATTCGACAATGGAGAACTTTCTCTATTTACTTTTATCTAGTTCCTAAGACCATGGAATTGCCCTTTGAAATATAACCTGGTTGAATAAATCTCTGTCCTCTGGAAAAATTCTGCTTCCAAGTCTGGCAACTCATGAAGGTAAAAATCCAAATCTGCTTTGTACAATATGGTAGCTACCGACTACATGTGGCTGTTCAAATTTACATTTAATTTAAAATTTACATTTAAAATTTCATTTAATTCAATACCTCAGTTGCACTAGCCATATTCCAAGAGCTCAAAGGCATTATGTGACTAGTGACTACCATACTGGATAGTACAGCCTCAGAACGTTACATTATTACAGAAAGTTTTATTGGGCAGTGTTGATCTAGACAATTTTCTTGATATTTACTTGTGACTCTCAATTTTTAAATATATTTTACTGATTTTGGCTAAGATCAAGTGACTCTCAATTTAATTTACAGTGAAAACTCCCATCCAACTTTCAATAACACGTGCTAGTAAATAGGGTGGGAAAAGAAATAAACCAGGAATCAAGAGCCCTCGTCCTGCCTCCAACTTGGCAACCTTCTTAATATCCATGGGCATGAGCATTTATTTCTGTTTGCGAAATGCAGGTGATTGGACCAGCCTGAAGTACTTTTCTCTCTTACTGCCAAACAAAATCCTATGCAGAATCCCAATATTAAAGCAGATAAAATCAGACTGGTCTGGTTGAAATGGGGATGTTGGCCTTAGCCTCACCTGCTTAGTCTTGACACCTTATGTGGATGTGCAAAATCCAATTAAAAGGACACTGAACTAGAGTCCTTTCTGGCCCTAGTGGCCCTAAAATTCTATGATGTTTAGAATTCACTTGTGAGTTGGAATACCTTAGAACTTACAAAAAAAGAACCAATGAGATCATCTAGTCCAACCCACTTATTAAACAGCTAAGGCAAACCAGTATCCTAGGGAGGTGAAATGATTTGCCCAAGATTATACAGCTTGGATTTCTTAACCCTCAATGCACTGCTATGTCTCACCCTCATTAAGAACTGCTAATAAGACATGCTCCCCAAAAAGACTATCCTGTTGACCTCTTCCAGAGAGCATAAGGAGGCCATCCTCAAATATCAAATCTCAAATTCAGTTTTGATATCAAAATAATTTCCTATACTGGTTGGCTGTACTTAACCAGAGAAACCTAGTGCCTGAAAAACATGAGGGGTAGGACTGGACATGCAAGAACTAATCTTGGCATAAGCAGATACCAACCTTCAATCATACATTTGGAGGACACAAGTAAATTATCTCAGATTGGCAAAAGGAAGTTACTTGGAGAAATAAAGCAAAAAAGAAATGACCAATATCTGCAAGTAAGAATATCCTGAACCCTCGGTCCATTATACTCTTGTACCCAACCAAGGAAAGGATAGTTTGATCCTAGAGATTGTTGGTTGAGGTTAATAATTCTGTATCCAAAACCCTCTGGACCAGTAATGTTTGGAAATCTAGAGATTTTGGCATTTTAGAAAAGCAATATGCTGCATACATAATGCCACTGTAACCTAAACATCAATATTTCTGCAGTAAAATTAATGAATAAATGATAAAGACTATAAATAGCCTCTCTTCACATTATGTCGAGTTTTGCTGCCAAATAAGTCATTACAAACTTTCAGTTTTTAGAGGTTTTTTTGCAATTTGTAATTGTTGATAAGAGACTATGGACCTCCATTCTTGAGACTAAATCCAAAATCTACAGGTCATAATCTCTGGCAACAAAATTTGCATCCATTGCACACACACTTTTTGGTAATGTAAACTACTTACTAGTAGGAAGCAGGGGGAAGATACAATGTTTTATTTGCAGGACCAATACAAATGAAGAATATCATAATGGACCCAAGTCTTCCTCATGTTTGATATAGGCTATGATGACCCCTTTGAGATGGAGTTATTCATTAATTTCATAATTTTATACTCCTAATCTAGCTGCAACAATAACAAACCCCTACTGCTGCCATGAACATTTCTTTAAAGAAGCTGAAGTTAACAGGGATGGATTCAGATTAATGTGATGCCCAACAATTTAGCTTGGATTTAGAAAATGATTTGAACTTAGATGAAGACAATGAGAAAGTATAAAATTTTTAAAAATTCTTACTTGCCAAACATGCTAAATTATATGTGAAAAACACCAAAATTTATACATTTAAGAAACTTCTTATACTGTATAAATAAAATACCTTTAAACACAGCTTATTAGGTAGATATGCAGGTGTTTATTGTAAAATTCTCAAGTTTGTTGTATGTTGGAAAAGTTTCATAATAAAATGTTGGGAAGAAGTAATCAATGAAAGAAATGTATATATATTATTAGTGTTAATTCACTTAAAAAACATGAAATAAAGTTCATAATCATGAAAGTCAAGTGCCAGATATAACTTACCTTCCATAATAAAAGAACTAATAGAGCAAGCATCAAAATTCCAGCAAGAATAGCCACTAAGATGATCCACCAAGGTACTCCTGAATGTAGAGCTGCAGTCTTCGAGGGAAACACAGTCACACGAACCTATGAGCCACACAAGAGAGCAGCATGATTATAAAATAGAAAGATAGTCAATACCAGGAATTTATATTTCTAATTGTGCTTCCAGACACATTTTGGACAATGCAGCCTGTGGAAGGATGAGATGCCTTTCTGATGCAAGATTCTCTCCCTTAATTATGCAATATTGCTTCAACAGGCATTCCTTGGAGATCTTTTCCTAGAACTTGAAAAATGCTGGATTATGTTTCAACAAAGTGATTATTTCTTTGCCAACTTAGTTCTTAAAATTTTGTTATGAACAAAAGTAGATAAAATTGTATAATAAATCATCATTCAACATCAAGTTACAACAGTTATCAGTACTTAGCCAAATTTGTTTCATTTATATAACCTGGTATGTTTTTGGGAATGATCACACTTTTTTCAAATTAGTTTTCAGCAATGAAAATAACAGGGCCAGTTTATGCACAATTAGCCTACATTCCTCACTCAGATTTTAAAGATGTTGTGAAATATAAAAACAGGGGTAGTGTAAGGACAGGAAAAAGGCCTCCCTTTTTAAAGTTTGAGGGTTAAATTTTCCTAATTACTCAAGAGGCAAATCCTGTGATTTTCTATTTGAAAGAGAATAGAGGAGATTACAGGAGAGACTGGTGCCATAGTTAAGAGAGGGAGCGAGCTGCTCTCCTGGGCCAGACCTCCTGGTTATTTGATTACTGTGGCCAAGCTGTAATACAAACACTTGGGTTTGAGATCAGTAAGTCCCAAAGCCTTCTGGTTTGGAAGCACTGCTTAGGGACAATAGCATGCCGAGGGATAGGGCTGAAAAGCAGTGAAAGACTGGGAAAAGCACCCTAACCCAGATGATCTAGATCTGGGGCTAGTTCTGGGTGTCCCCCGAGTCTTGGGCCACAATGAACCAAGATCTGAACTCAAATCAAGCGTCCTTGAATCGGAGAGTGGACCAAACCAGATCCAATTCAGATATAAGCATCCTTACTGGAGATCTGATCGAAATGGAAACAGCTGAATGCGTCCTTTGCAGCCGAATGCCTAAGTGACAGATCTGGTAGTGGAGTTTCTGTCCCACCGAGGACCACGACTTGCAGGGGGAAATGACTGCCATTTCGAACCTCGAGGCTGCTAACATCTCCAGAATCAGCGTGACTTACCAATTGCTGACCAAGGAGGAGGGGCGCCAGGAGAGCATCTATGAAGTTAAGGAGAACAGAGAGGGGGACTGAACTTCTGGAGACAGCGAAGTTAGAGGAGAAAGAACTATAGCCTGTCCCAGTACAGGTCACCAAAATGTTAGGGATTTGGCCCGTGACTCAAGCTGTGAAAGAATTCACAACTGAGAGAAGAGACAGATGCAGAGAGGGTGTTTATTTTACTTTCCTCGAAGGGAAAGGGCAGGTGTGTGTAGCTAATCAATACAGGGCAAGAAATAAAGGGCAGCCTGCTCTTTTAAGCAGGTACTGTTGCTGGGCGACAAGGAAGGGAGAGGTTTGTGTTGTTTGCTAAAGTTGAGCAAATAACAGGGCGGTCTTGAAAAGTTACACTTTGCTTTCCAGGAGACAGTCTGGCAGATGTCCTAGGGAGGTGTCTTATCAGTATTTTCCCCCAAGCCTGTAAAACATGCTTAGAGCAAAAGTTATGAAGAGTTCCAAAGAGACTTGTTTTAAGGGGAGGGGGAAGGGAGCTTTTTGCTAACTAGAGACTCCTAGGTGCAAATTAATCTCTGAGTTGTAAAAACAGCAGGGGGGGCGGATGCAGGAATGTAGCCTTGAGAGTAGGTTATCTTGTCCACAGTTTGAACAGAGAAGCCAACAGTCTTGGGATTTAATTACCAGGTGCTTCTCATAAATCGTGGAAGGACACAGCAAAGAAAGAGGCCTTTTCCTGTCCTTACAGATGGAGCTGTATGATTGATACCATTTTAACTTTTCCTTAGGAGAGCAAACTAAGGACCCTGTTGAACAATAAACTCTCCTGAAACGGCTTGGTGTTGTCTTCTACAGCAATGTGGATGGACAGTTTAGACTGTGGATTCACTCAGAGGCAGCTCAGAGTAGCCAATGGGAAGCTCAATGCCTAAACATGTGATAGTTGGTAAATACCAATTAAATTGAAATAGTGTTCATTCAGAAATCTAAAATCTAATGTAGGTTTAGAATTCAAGTGAATTTTTGTGATGCCGGGAGATTCTTCAAAGCGCATGAATGACCTGGGGATTGCTACGGATATGATTTTGTAAACTATACTGACTGGAAATCGATCACTTTTGTAGTTCCTGCTATTTCTGAGTTAACAGAATAAAGAGCAAATAAAACTTAGTGGGAGCATTTAACTTCCGAGAAGTATTTCAGTCAAGTATTCTATGAGTACTGAACACTGGGTGCCACTTAAAAATGTGTCTGTCTACGCTATGCTTCTATACTTCTTTCAATACTTCTAAATTATAATTATTTTTTTAAATCTCTTCATTTAAAGTACTTCCCTTTCTACTTATGCTAGAAAACATGTATCAACCCCATCTGACTCAGAAAATACTTAAAAAGAGAACTGCTTTTATTTGAACATTTAGTAGGAAGGACTTCACATTCAGAGTTTTCATTACGGACCGTAACAGGCAGGTATAAACACCTTATCAGCTACCCAGTTTCCTGTTTTGCTCTCAATGAGGTTTCACTCTGGCTCCCAGCCCCAGAGGGGCCCTCGGAGCTCACTTCCCCCCACCTCCCTTCCCCCAACAGGTGTCCCAGCTGTAAGGAAAAAACACCTTAAGATTATTCGTTCTAACACAGAGGTCTCCATAAAGTAGGGAAGAAAGAATGATGAGAGACCAGTGAAGAAATATATAGGATGTCCCCCCAAAATGTATACACTTTGGCTGCATTAATTCCAATGGGTTAAATCTAAAAAGAAACATCAACTGAGCTGTTAAAGTGTGTATACACTTTTTGGGGACACCCTGTAGTTGATGTGACTGGTAAACTGACTAGTCTAAAAGAAAACAAAAAGTTAATTTCAACTATCCTGTATTGAATTTCATTGAACTTTGCTTCCCTAGTATCTAGCACAGTGAAGGTACACAGTGTGTCCTTGGGGGCAAGGTAACAACTTGGAAGGGCCACTCTCATTTGTAAGAATAAATTCTGATAAAAGTGGGTGTGGAGAGTGGAGACTGGTCCATGCCAAGGGGAATCAACCTTATTATAATCACCCCGTATACCAAGGCCTTTTAAATAGCTGCTAACAGAGGAAAATCACTCCCACAAAAGGCAACAGCATCCTGGCAGAACAAGGTAACTTTTGATTTTGCAGCCTATGGTGGCAGGGTGGGTAGGTGGGAATCCAGCTGAGAGCTCTAAGCCCCGGGTCTGGCTACCATTCTAACCAGAACTTGGAGCCTTATAGAAACTGCAAAACAACTCACTGGACAAAGACTGAGAGGACCAAAGGCAGGGGCTGGGCCACCCGTTTAAAGAGCAGGTGTGCTCTGCAAATCGAGTCTGCAAGGCCGCACCGGGGACCAGGGAGGTGTGAGGCCAGTGAGCAAGACTTTGTTTACTTCAACTGTCAACTGAAGGGTTTTTGATTTTTGCATGAGGACAGTCATTCTCCAGCTGGGATTAGGAAGAAGGAAGAGCCGGCCTTAGAATCGGGTAAGAGAGCAACTTGGAGCAGCAATTCCCAGAACTCTGGGAAGCCTTTTCTCATCTTGCCACAGCAGCTGTTACTGCTAGACGGTATACAGTGGAAGGTAAGCAGAAGTTACTCCAACTCCAAAAGCAGTATTTTTTTCAGTTTCATTAAAATCGAGGCATTTCTGGAGGGATGACCTCATCCATCATGTGCCTGTAAGGGGAAAAGGGCTCCAGCTCTGCTGATGCATTAAATTACATCACCAGTGAGCAGTGCCCAGGCAACAGCAGCTTGCCCACTGCTGAAATGCCTCCCTAAATCATCTGTAATGGAATGCCCTCCACTCCTGCTGAGGATTAGTATAAATCACCCGATGAAGGGATTTTCTATCTTTTCTAAAGCTCTCTATTAAAGACACGTTCCCCTTAGTGAATGTTCCTCATATCAGAAATCCATCTTACAAAAGGATCCACCTCAAGTTTTTCTCTGAATTTAGAGCAGAAAAAAAACCCAAAAAAACTCAGTTCCCCTGAAAAATGTGCCTACTTCTTCACCTTTCACATTTCTTTTATTGCTGGCAGCTCAGATACTCTCTACCTACTTCCTTTGGAATGAAGTGGGGGACACAAGTACAACCAGTAAACAACCTCCTCCCCTTTCAACAATGCCTGCCTGCCGCACCTCCCAGACCACAGAATTCTCAACAGTTGGCCCTGTATCCTACTCAATAACGTTGCTTCTCTAGCATTTGTGTAGCAAAGGCACATAGTTCTTAATAGGTGCTTGTTTACTGGATGGGTTTCATTTAGTTAATGCTAAAATATAACCACCTAATCTGGTTCAATTAGGTGACCAACAGCTTTCTCTGACTTTGTTATAACAATGTCTTAAAAGGGTTTCATTGACAAGGGAACATAAAACTCTTAAAATTGGTTTGGTCATAAGGAAACAAGTAGGGTTTTTCTTTTTCTTTCTTTTTAAAGCCAGGATTAGAGTAAAAGCAATGGGAAGAGTTTCCAATATTAAGACTAAAAAACAAGACTCAATAACTCAATGTCCTTCTCTTCTATCTCCAAAAAAAAAATAACCTTCAGACTGGAAAAAGATAGATGAAGCAAGATAAAGATGAAATTAAAACCCATGATAGGCGAGGGAATAAAAAGGGAAAGCATCCTGTCACTTGAAATAAGTTAAAAGTTTTAGGCCCCAGAAAACTCCTTAAAATACTAAAGAAAGGTATAGATGTGATATATGAGCTATTATATCTCAGAAATCACAATTAATAGAAGTATCATAAAACCAGAGATAAGACAATGTTTTGGTTTTCAAAAGAATGGAGTTCTAGATATGAGACCAGTAATCCATACACAAATCTACCAATTATTAAATAAAATAGGATCACAGCAAAGTTTCCAATTCCCATTAGCAAGCATGAGTTGTCTAAGTCCTAAGAACATAAAATGCCCAAAAGAACCTCCTCTTCATTTGTGACCGAGTCCAGTAGCTGCTAGAAATGCAAACACAACACTCAGCAAACTTTTTTTTCTTTAAATCCTTACTGAGGATATTTTTTCCATTGCTTTTCATTCAGAGACTGGAAGGGAAAGAAAGAAAAACATCGATGTAAAAGAGACACATCGATTGGTTGCCCTTGACTGGAATTGAACCTGAGACTCTTCAGTCTATGGGCTGACGCTCTAACCACTAAGGAAACCAGTTAGGGCCTCAGCAAACATTTGAAACCAAGTTTTAGGCTGAGATGCTGGGAGGTAATGGCCCTAAGTAAGCTGAACCAGGCTGAGCACATGTCAGCTACTCTGCCCATCCCTGGCCATGTGGGAGTCACACTGCCCGACTAGGGCCGACATGGGAGAGGAAAGACCTGGAACCCGTTCACCTGCGCCAAGCATGAGGGGCAACTGAGGAACTGGATGCTTAGCTCTGAAGAGAGTGACATGTGCAAGGAATCGTGACAATTTCTTTCAATGATTTCAAAGGCTCTCTTGGCTACATGGCCAAGAGAGAAAACTTATTTTGGACTTATTCCAAGGGGGATCAGCAGTTCTGAGTTTACAATATTCAATTCTGGATTCATCCATATAGAGATCTTTTCTAACAACTGCAGCTGGCCACACACAGCACGAGCTGTACCGCAAAGCAGTGAAGTTACCCTCACTGGGGGTCCTCACTGATGGCCACAGCATTAGGGACGGCCTAAGACATGGGTTTCTATAGAGCTGGGAGGTGCACCGGTTCTTCCGTTGAGTCAACAGCTCTTGAGTCTACCACGTGCACTGCAGAACCAGGGGACCCAGATTCGCTTCTTTTTTCAATAATTCTATTAAAATACAGAGTGTGGTGGCAGCCCCTTAAGACAGTACCAGATTTCTCCTGAATAAGGGTAACAGTGCCGGGAAATGAGGGCGAAAGCAGCTCGGCCTCCGGCCGCGGCGCTCAAGGAAAGGGGGTTGCTCTGAATGAGGACTGGGGAGCGTCTCACCTGAGTGCCTGCGTTTGACAACTTGATATTCTCGGTGGCAGCAGTTATGTCAATGGAAGCCCGCACGAGAATGTCCAAGTAGTTCATTTTAGAATATTCCTGTGTGGAGACAGCGAATGCATTAGGGAGGTGAGAAATGTCCCGGGAGGTGGCAGATGACTTTGGGGGACAGCCTCTCCGCGGGCCACACCTCTAGAAATGTGCTGTTCCACAACCTCGAGCGCAAAATAACAGAGGCCTTGCTGTCCAGGCCGCGCAGCGGGCACCTGAGGTTCACGCAGTTCACGTTGACGCTGCAGTTCTGGGCGGGAGAGGAAGGCAGGGGTTAAAACGCGAGGGGCTGGGGAAGGCCCTCTCCCATCCTCCCTGGGAGTTGCAGCTCTTAAAAAATACTTACAAGGGTCTGGTATTTTCTTTCAGCAAACAAAGTAAATTTTCTTCTATCCTCAATCTGTTTCTCGGCAATTTCCCGTTTCCTTCTTGAGTTGTGTGACTCCTGAAAAGAATTATATCCCAAATCATTCCACCTCACGTAACTGTGTGTCACAACTGTACAAACCTCTCGAGCACACCCTCCCAAATGATGCCCAACTCACAGAATCCACAATATGTGCCCTTCTCCTGGCACCAAAGGCGCAGAAATAATTTAAGTGTAAAATCTGCAAGTGTTATTACCTCATTTGAAGTTTACTGATGAAGGGAATTTAGTCTCTGACCTTATAACCCAGGGAGAGAAAGAGGCTTTCTTTGTCCTGTCTCCCCACCAAGCTGCGAGCACCCTAAGACAGGGATCGAATCTCATTCCTGCGTCCCGAGCACCAGCTCGGTACCTAACACAGCATATGGCAAAGTCAGCACATCTTGAATGAGTAAGCGATGCTGAAGAACAGGGAAGGAAGCAAAGAGAACTAGCATATGACTTATTCAAAGTGGAGTACTGAAAACTAACCCTTGCAAGAAGTTTTAAAATTGCGTTTTCCTTAAAATAAGGATTCAGAATAATAGGCCATCTTGTTTTTCAGTCTATGAATAGAAGGTCATTCTATAAGCCACCAGCCATGAACAGTGACCATACCCAGTCACCTTAGAATTTAAGATAGAAGAAAAAGACATTCGATAACAAAAGCAAAACTGCATCGAACTGGAGTGTAAATGATCAGCCAGTTACAGAAGCGTGGGGCAGGAGTGAGGTGGGCTGCGAGTGAAGGCTCTGAAGGCAAGCAGGGCTGAGCCTGAATGTTAAATCTGACTCCCAACTGCTGAGTGACTGAGAAAGTTATTGCCTCTGAATTTCAATTTCCTCGTCTATGAAATGGTGAAGAAAAATACCTCATAGGACTATCAAGACAACGAAACTAGCAAATGCAAACAAAATGCTTAGCACAATGCCCAAGACACAGTAAGTACTCAATAAATATTTACTGTTTTAAAAAATGAGAATGAAAGGCTTTGGAGGTCACTTGCTAAGGTGCCAATATACAGGGTGTCCCAAAAGCATGTATACACACTTTAACAGCTGATAACTAACTTAACTTTCACTTCTTTTCAGGTTTAATTGATTTGAAATAATGAGTGAAGCCAGACTAAGCTTTGAACAAAGAAAATTTATCCACTAGACTTTTTTATGGGGATACATAAAAGATAAAGGTTATGGTACAAAACCGGCAACAGCTGGAGAATTGAGGGCACACAAATACTGAACGAAATGATTCTTGATGTTTGTGATTCCATTGCTTCACATTATCAGCAGTGCCTGGACCAGAATGGTCATAAGTTTGAAAACAGGTACTGACAAAAACATTTATTCATTTCTGTAGATCCTTTTAAATTTTAAAATGAACAATATGTTAATACTGACTTTATAATCATTCAAAGTGTGTATACATTTTTGGGGGACACCCTATATTTTGGAATGAGTTTGGCTCTATTGGGAATTAACACTGGCTGGCCTGCTCTCCCCCACCCCCAGAGGCCTGTCCCAGTTCCATTATACATCATACTGGCTCATAAAACTTCAGAAAATGTAATTTGATTCAACAAGCAATGAATGACCCTTCCTTAGGAGTCATAACCGCCTCTAATCCACAGAAACCCTCAGCCTGGCTATAGAAGAGAAACTGTGATACTAAAGAAAAAGTGGACATGCTGGCATATCAGTTTCCCAAGGAAAGTAATGGGTTTCCCCTCAAAGTCAGCTTCTCCCATTTATATCTATGGAATCATGAGATAAATCCACCAACATACCTTTAGGTTCAGAAAGTTTATTTCATTTTGCGGCTCACAAGCTATCTTTTCCAATCCTTTGGATTCTACTTTCACCAAATAAAGCAACCATTTGCCGTTGCTAATTTCTTTTGGCCACTGGATATTCAAGGTTGCTGTGCCAAGGTTTTTAAGAGGCTTGCCCAAGTTAATAACCTTTTAGAAAACAATACGACATGTTATCTCAGTATAATTTGTCGTTGACGTAGAATTAAGTAGCAACTCCTATTACCAAGAGAAAAAAGCCAAAATACCTGGCATAATCATAATCAAAAGCAAAGGCTCCAAAACTGGACTATAGATAGGTATTCAAAATAGAAATTTGTATTTGAAGATTCTTGTCAATAAAAATAGAAAGAAAATTGCCCCGGCTGGGTGGCTCAGTTGATTGAAGCGTCATCCCGTACACCAAAAGGTTGTGGGTTCGAGTCCCAGTCAAGGCACGTAACTAGGTTGCTGGTTTGATCCCCGGTTGGGGCAAGTATGGGAGGCAACTGATGGATGTTTCTCTCTCACAGCGATGCTTCTCCTTTCCTCCCTCTCTCTTTCTCTCTCTCCCCTGCTCTCTCTAAAATCAATAAAAAAAATATCCTCAGGCGAGAATTAAAATAAAAATTAAAAAATAGAAAGAAACAACGGTCAAAGAGAAAAGATGGTACATTCAATCCAGGAACAACAGTGTTGTGCGACAGATTATGTGCTACACATACGCCCAGCTCTCAGCGTGCCAGGGGCAAGTCAAGCAAGTTTGTGAACAGCTCTGTGACCACCCTGCTTGGCAGGTGACAAGGCCCGTGCTGTGGCAGAGCGCCAACAACCTGCTTCTAGGAAGCCCCACCTACAGCGACAAGGACGCTGCCTCTGTCCTGGACTACCCTGGGGGGGGCTTGGGGTAACAACTGAGAGACTGAGCAAAGCCATCATGGCAGCCACAAGCCTATGAGGCCCGGCTGGGGGCAGAGCAACTTCCTGCCGCAGAAGCGAGCAGAGGTCGGAGCCTCTGTGTCTGCGTGGGGGGCTGCTCCAGGACCCCCAGGCTCGCTCCCACCACCTGTCACCGTTGTGTCTGTCAGGCTAAGGGCCACACAGAGGAGGGGTCAGCCTCTTCTTCACCCTGCTGGAGACGGGTGGGCTCACTCTTGCCTTTTCATACGTTCGCCTCAGCAATGGTCACTACGCTTTCAGGAACGTGATTTTCAGCCACCCCCCCGACCCCACGAGCTATGAGCCAACTCTGTAGCATGCACGTACGCTCCTTCAGCTGGGCCGAGAGTCACTGCGCTTGCCCACTTTGCGATGGTTCAGAGCAATCATTAGTTTTCCCTGCTGGCATATGCCAAGTCCACATCCCCCAGCACAAAGCGGCTTGGGAAAGGTGGGTGGACATTAACCAGAAGCTCTGAGAGAGATGGCCTTAAAACAGAGGAGTAAATCATAACATATTCTAAAGCCAAATATAAATCACTGTGAGCTTTTCCTGTGTTTTACACACAGACTCGGGGGTAAGAGGGGAATCAAGAGTCCCTTTGTCTCTATATCACAGACGCGTTAAAACTCTCTAATCAGAAAACCAAACTGAACTGGATTCTGAACAAAGTCCCATGTTGAAGGAGAGCTGCTGTTCTCTGTTCTGAAGGACAAAACTTTTACTGTAAGCCAGTGCATTGATTAAAAACCGGCAAACTCACTCTTATCTGAGCATTTATCAGGCTTCTTTATTAACCTTATTTATTAAAATTACATATTTGAGACCATATTTAGTATGAGTTAGCTTCCAGTATCTATAATAAGAGGACCAACTGCTATGACTTACCCTGAACTCATACTCTATCAAACTTCCCACTTCATCTTCAGATTTCATAGCCTGCTCACCAAGGACTGTCCCTCCAAAATACACCTGGGAAGGTTTAGCAACTCTGTTAAATTAAAAAACACCAGTTTTAGTGAGGATTGTAAGTGGTTCTTTCAAACACTGATTTGTTATACTAAACACAAACACTTACCCAGAGACCGATAAAAGCAGTTCAATAACCACTTTTGCAGAAGCTGTAATTGAAGCCAAATTATCCTGATTGCTTGTTCTGAAAATGAAAAGGAAACAATAGGGTTTTATTTTAACAGTCAGTTTTCTTATTACAATTACACTTCTTTTATGAGTTAGATCAGGGCCAATTCACTGACTGGCTGTGTTTTCATGAAATAATTCTAAAAGGGAAGGTTGAAGTGACTTACGTTTCCAACTTCAGATTAATATCCAGATCTGTGGTGTCAAAGGTGACCTCGGTTGTACTTAAAATCAAATAAAAAGTAACCTAAAAAAGTAAAAATAGCCATTAACACGGACCAACCATATCGACATTGTAATGGTGTTTAAAACAGTAAAATTCAATACGTGAACGTGTCACCTACACTGGAATTTCTTTTAAAAGGATTTCCGAGCTCACAGTCTGCTTGTGAGCCATTCTGGTTGGCAACACAACTCAACTGCTTCTCCTACAACAGAAAAACACACTAGATCACAACAGGTTCACTTGCCAGAGTGTTGGTGTTTTCCCCCAGCTGCTCTCTAACTATACTCACAGGGAAAGCCTTCAGCTCTCTGTATGCAGAGTAAGTCAGAGTGTCTGGAAAAGTTGCAATGAGTTTAGCTTCGTGTGCATCATCCCCATCTTTGGTGGGATTCTTTGGGTCAGAAGGGCCGTTTGTCACTGTTATTTCTAAAGCAATGTCCTTCTGGTCCTTCAGGACTAGTTCTGGAAGCCCTTTTTGACTATTAAAGAAAAGAAAAATGACAAAGTCCTCAGTATTTTTTCAGTAAGCCCATTTTTAACAAAAGCCACAGCAAAGCCAGAGCCATCCTGGCTAGTGCTACAAAGCAAGTCTTACATTGGTAAATAAGAAAACTTGTCCTGACTTCCTTCTCGGGAGCAAAATTTGTATTCTAGTTTAAGGTTGCTGTTACATACGTTGTCATCTCCACATCCCTCTTTTAAGAAGTGCACCTGGAGGAAAACAGAACCATGGTCATTTCTGCCATTTAGGACTCACAGAGGCATCTAAATACGTAAATAGCTGCGTCCACACAGTTCGTTTCCCCATGTGACAATTACCAGAGCAGAAGTCAACCTTCAAACATACTTTGGCATGCAGGTAATGCCCACTTAGTCTAACAAAACTGTGTCTTAAGGCACTTTGACCAGGGAAATGAGGTCGTGTGGTGCAGTAGGGTGTGAGTCCCACAGCCACACAGGTCTATGTTTCAACTTCGCTGTGTGGCTTCGTCACAGGTAATATGGGGACACCACCACCCGACTTTATAGGGCTACTGTAATAATGACCATGATGCTAACAGACCTATGAGGAAGATACCATTATGAGCTCCATTCTACAGATGAGGAAACAGAGTTTAAGGTCAGGGAAATAAACGGCACAGAGTATCTAGCACAGTGCTAATGGTGCTCAATAATCACATTGATAAATGATAATCCTGCATCTCGACCAGCTTAAACCCTAACAAACACACTCTACCTCATAGGTATATAGCAAGCCATATAACATAAATTTTTCTAAGATTTCAGGCTACGCTTAGCACTGAAATGACTATTTCACTGCTACTACTTTTTGACTTGCTGAATTTTTATATCCCTTGATTTTAATGTTCAGACTAACAACAGTTTGTTTTCTACACCTTAGTGTTCTCAGTGGTATTTTTATGTGAGAGTAAGAAGTTCTGGCAATTATGGTCTCCGTAAGTTGCAGTGGCCAAAAAAAAATCAAGGAAAATACTTTCTGGCTCCAAATTGTATTCTGTATGCTTCTATATTCATTGCTAATTGGATAAACAGACCTTCAAAGTTTGCATTATTTTTAAAAGCTTATTTAATACAAAGGAATGACCTTTAAAGCAAATCTCTAATTCTAGTGCCTTTAAAGACCTTTGATTTAGCAAAATAATATGGCAAAAACTTTGGCAAAACAGAAGTCAGAAAGACTTACGTCTTTATGAGCTGTCTTGGGCTCATTTGAATTCAGAATTGGAAAAATCTCTGGAAGTGAATTCACTCGCCTCCGAGTGGTTGGCTCTTGGATCTCTACTGAAGCAGTTATGGGGATGGGACGCAGTTTATCTCTGATATTTTCCTGAAAAGCACACACAGATAAAGGTAAGCATGGGATAAATGCTATTGGCGAACTCCAAAACAATGCTTTATTTTGTGCTGAATAATGGATTGCTAGTATAAATTTCAAAATCCTATATATGCCACCATAAAACCCATCCTCTGTCCCCTTTTAAAAACTGTTTTGACTGCCTGCAGGCCTCACCTGTAGCCAGAGGGTTTCCTCCATGCACACCTTCTGCTTCTGCTTGTTCAGAGTTATCTCTTTAGTATACTTGGGCTCAGAACCTTGGTTTCGAAACTGAACTCTTGATGACAGCCCAGATTTTCTTCTCTCTTTTTCAGCCTCAAGTGTGCCTATAATGGCTGGATAAAATGAACACAAATCCTATGATCTTAGAGAGCATGCATATACATTCAGCTATAAGTATAGCTCCTTTTAAAAATATTTTTATTCCTTTTAGAAGAACACTTTTCCCACTGCCATTGTTTCTCTTTATATTTCTCGATAATGTACATTTTGACTTATTTATGGTGTTTAAAACCGAGCTGTCCTTTTCCTGCCTATTGCTGTTGTTTTAAAGTTAGATTTTCATGGGCCACCAGGGGGTGCTCAAGAATAAGTCAAAACCTCTGCATAGGGTCTAAGAATCCCTTTCCGACTGAATCTCAGCCACAAAGAGCCCTCAAGATAACCGGAGAGGACCCAACCCTCCCTAAGGGCCCAAACTGACTCTCCCTTCAACAGGCCAGGGCTTAAGTGACCTAGCACTTTGGTATTCAAAACGGGATTAAGAAGTACAAACTGCTAGCTGTAATACAATCACGGGAATGTAAAGTACCACATAGGAAACGGGGTAAATAATACTGCAATAACTATGTATGGTGGCAGATGGGTACTTGACTTATTGGGGTGATCACTTCACAAGGTATATAAATGTCTAATCACTATGTTGTACACCTGAAACTAATATATCAACTGTGATTGGAAAATAAATTGATTAAAAATAAGTAAATAAGTAAATAAAATTTCCCCAGAAAGGGTCTCTAGACCAGCAGCAGCATCTCCTGAGATGTGCTAGGGATGCAGACCACAGACCCCAGCCAGACCTACTGAGCCAGAATCTGCATTGCAACAGGGTCACCAGGCGGTTCTTTACACACCGAAGTTTAATAAGTACTGATAAAGGACAGTTGTCTGGAGACAGAAAAGTCTTTTGACAATAAGATAAGACTTTTCAAGTTAAAAAAAAAAAGGGGTAAAGCGTATTCCTTTAAGTGGCTAGAAGGCCTGTTTGTCAGCCAATAGAGCTTCAACAAGCCAAGTTTCCAACCTGCAGAGCTAGATCTAGAAGGCACACCCTGCCCTGACTCCCTGGTCTAATGGAGCTTAGAGGCCAGCAAGGATCAGGATGATCAAAATCTCGATCCCTGACTTCAGAATGCATTCTCTGCCAATTCTCTGGATACAACTGCAGTTTCTTTATGGGAGAATACCGAAATTACTTCCACTGGTTAATCACTCACTAGCCATCAGAAGAGAAGAAACCAAAGGGTATACTGTGCCAGAGAAGGCAGCCTCAAGGAAAAAAACCTGCTCCAGAAAATGCAGAAAATGGAATCAATGACCCATGTTCTATCATTCATGGTAGAGTTTGGAAGAGGCATTTTGAAAGCATCTATTTTAATACCCTCTTCCTGCAGATGAAGGAATGGAGGCCCACAGAGGTAGGGCTGGTCCAGAGCCATACAATGAAGGACAGAGGCAGTGCCAGCTTCTAAGTCTCTGTCACAAACCCCAAAGACAGTGGCTTGATTTTAAAGCTTCTTAGATGCCCGGGTTCCCACTTGCCTGTAGACCTCTGCATGAGTCACTCTCCCTCTGCCAGCCTAACCCTCTCCTTCCCTCCACCTTCCCGACTGCCCAGCTAACCCTACTCCTTCAGATCTCGGCACGCACATCCCTTCCTCCAGGAAGCCTCCCGGGGTATCTGACAGTATTCTACACTCAGCCTGCTGCGCTATAACTGCCTGACCATCTTCCCTGGGGCAGAACTGTGGACAGGGACCATCTCTGTCTGTTCTGCCCAGCAGCAGCACAACACCTGATACAAATACCATTTGTAGAACAGATGAACGGAAGTAGGAGTAACTGGCCCCACATCAGCATACACACCAGTGCACGTCTGCACACACACAAAATGGGACGTTTTTCTTATGCTAAAATGATGCACTTCAGATGTGTAGGGCCAAAATTTAGAAACACGATAAATGACAGTTTCAACAGTAATTTCTGTGTCCATCTAAAGAATTTTTAAATGTCACGACTGCCAAATGGAACGCGCCTCCGTTTTAGGCCCTCGGCAGCCTTGACATCATCCATCTATTAGTGACCCGCTAACTTCACAATGAACCAGAGGAGGGCTCAGTGCCGAGTGCCCCTCGCAGCAAAAGGAGGGGAGGGCGTGGGTGCATTAAAACCGCTTATCGACCAAACCACTCTAACCTTCCCTAACCCTCCAGACAGTTCACATCATCTTCAAAATCCCTGCAGGCCACCTTCGCCGACCTTTTGAGGGGCAAGCCAAGTAGAATACTCATTAAGGCGCAATTATAAATATCTGTATGTACAGAACGCCGCCGCCGCTGAGGACTGCCGAGTGAAAACAGCCTGGCCGAACAGTGAGCGCGTGTCCTCAGACGCTGGGAACACACTGCGGGTCTACTAACTCACGCAGCTAAGTGCCAGTTCTGTTTTATTTGATTCAGAATTGCCCAATACTGTGGAAATATAGGCAATGAAAAGAGATTTTCTCTAAGTGTCCTCAGAGAAAAAAGTTCCATCCATAATAGGCCATCAATAAACACTTGGTTAATGGAGCAGTTATATAATATAAAATTAATATTGATTCGGAGGGAGACGAGGAATGTGCCCTGATAAGATTTCACATCTATCGTCAAACTGAGAGTGGCTTGAGAAAATGACAGCCTGATAGAAATGTTTCCAGTGGCCTCTCCTTGCCTACTCAAAGAACCCCCCTCCTCCTTGCCCAACACGAGGGTAACGGGCGGTGATGGGAGCAGGGAGGTGTAAGGTACTTCATTTGGGTAAAAATAACACAAATGATTCCGAAAGGACGACAGAGAGTGAGAAGTCATAGAAGACGCTTTGTCATTAGAAGCCACACAGAGGTTTTTCTCTCCACTCAATGAAATGCCAGCTGCATCAAAAGCGAAGCGAAAGGTCACGTTCCGCCTGCGCACAAAGCCATAATCCACGGGCGCCAGCGTGCTCCAGGCCCCGGTCACAGATCCCAGGGAGATGACACGGCAGGACCCGCCCGGCACATCAGGGCGCGAGGAAACCACCTGAGGCTCAGATCCAGGCAGGTGAAGGCTTAGCGGCTTACGACAGTGCGGGCTGGGCCAAAGCCGGCGCGCTGCCAAATGCTGCGATAGTCAATGGGGCATCCTTTTAATAAAGAGAACTCATTAGGAGAACTCATTATCTCAAGGTGGAGAAAAAACAGAAAAACATGAAAAGAACAGAACTACCTGTCCTCCTAGAAGCTTCCCTTGGTGGCCTGCTACACCACAAAACACAGCAGCTGGGAGCCTGGCCGGACCCAGGAGGGAGATCACCCTCACTCTTTGTACTTCTTCTTTGGGAAAAAGATTTTCTTTCTTTATTACTATCATTATTATTATTTTTGTTAATCCTCACACGAGGATATTTTTCCATTGATTTTAGATAGAGTAGAAGTGAGGGAGGGAGAGGGGGAGAGAGAGAGTAAAACATCAATGTGAGAGAGACACATCGATTGGGGCTGGGATGGAACCTGCAACCCAGGTACGTGCCCTTGACCGGGAAACAAAACCAAAACCCTTCGGTGCACGGCTGATGCTCTAACCACTGAACGACACTGGCCAGGGCAGAAAAGGTTTTCTTTACATCTCCACACTCCCATCTTCACTCTGGAGCTGGAGCAGGTGGCTTGCACCTGAAGAGGTATGGCTGCTACTAAAACATACCAGAGAAGGCTCAGTGATTGATAATCACTCTTGTTGAGTATGGCTAGCCCTGTCAAAATTCGGGGGAAAATCCTGTTTGGATTATCAAGAAAGGAGCAAAATGAGACCTCAGAAATGACAAATTGCTTTCACCACATTATCTCATTTGATCTCCACACAATATTACATAGTAATTCCTATTAGATGCATTTTTTCTAACTAATGGGAAAATGGAAACTAAAATGTTAAGAGACTTGCTCTGAGTTGTAGGGTCTGTCAGCATCAAAGCTAGAACCCAGAGCAGAGCCCAAGTCTCTGAATTGCCGAAGCCAGCCTTGGGGACACAGCTTGGGTGTTTTGGGCCCTGTGGGAAGGGGCCAGGAGCAAAAAGTATAGACTGGCAGTTACTATGCAGTACCCGGTCCTGCATTCACTCTTCCACAACCACCACCCACCACCTCACAACCACAAAACCAATTTTCCACACTGCTGTTCAAAGACAGAGATGGAGGAAACAGTTGTGGTAGCAAATGAATACTTTTCCAAGACATTCTGCCCCAAACCATCTGCTCTGGAAAATTCAAATGGGGACCAAATGGAGAGTGTTTCCCTCCTGTGCTGCACCCTCCTGATTAAAGGGAAGACAACAGATAGACTTGATTCTGTAAACAAGAATTTATGGACCCATTTTGGCCACCGCAGTTTTATTTTTCTGTTCTTTATGCAGAATTTTCAACCTGACAGACAGAAAATATACAATTTTTAAATGTACTAGGTACTTACATATTGAAGGATTGTAACCAGTGGGTTTGGCCGTATATTCAAAGCAGGCCTTAACCTTGAGGCTGTATAAAATTAAACACATATTTCTTATAAGATGCATTATTGCAACAGGAAAAAAACCAACATGTTCCCCAGCTCTCAAGTGTCCCCCCCCCCCACTGCTCACTGATGAGTAAATTGTTATATATTCGCTTGGCAGATTCCTCTTCCCTCTGCCTATTTCTCAATCTTCCCCGTAGCTCCTCAAGGAAGTAGGGTCATCATGGAGCAGACATGTGAAACCAAGGGGACTAGTGGACACAGTGGAAACTCTCACCAGATCCCGCTGGGGGCCCCACAGGCTGTTTTCTGGCGGAGGTCAATCGTGCTGGGTGTTACTGTGATGGTTTTCTGGATATTAATCACAGGGCGGGACCTGAAGACAGACGAGTGAGAAACAAGCTCAGCCTCTTGCTACCCTGAAGGGAAGGTGAATCCATCACCTCCACTGCCTGACACACCTTAAAAACCACAGGAAAAAATGTTCCCCCGTGTAAGTTATTTCCTGTGTCACTGAAGGAAGTAACTGTTAAAATAGAATTTAAAACCTGACTATACAATATTCATGTAAGAACTTTAACATTTAAAGTTATAAAATGTTCTTGTTTAAAAATTTTAAAACTACCAATCTTGAGTCTCTGTCCTCCTGCTGCCAGAACTGGCTTCAACTTTTCTACCCCACGAGCTCTGTAGGCAAAGGCCCGAGTCCCTTAACACTTCCCATCCCTGCTCTACCTAAGCCCAGCCTCACACACACTCAACAAGCGGGAATCCCACACCTTTAGTTCCTCTCACCCTATAAAAACATCTTCTCTCTCCCTTACATATCCGCCTCTACTCCACACAGCCAAAGGGGTCACCGCTGGCCTAGGACCTGACCTCTGCCACAGGCAGTCATGCGAGCGTATGGTGGCTGCGGGTGCGAGAGGGCTGGGGAGATCCCTCCCACCTCCATCACTCCAGCAAGAACTCAGAACGGGTTCCACGGCTTCACTACCACACAGATTCCGTTAGGCTGACTTTAGTGGGCTTGTGTAAATCCAACCATACTGGAGAAGTGTTTTGATAGGAAAACGCATTCCAATTCCAAATAACTAGATTGAACTTCTGGCATTGATCAGTAGGCGAGCGAGGGAATGAGTACATTCATGGGGAAGGCGGGAGCCCTAAGAGGCAAATGCTGCCCAATGTCTACATCTTCCTTTCCCTTTATCGTAAATGTTTAACTTTCTGTTGTTATTTTACATTCAGGAAGCTGTTGAGTTCCTAAGATACTAATTAGGCACACTCAAAGTTTTGAGAGCATATTTAAAAGGCAAAAATTCACAGCTCTTTTAAAACCAGTTGCTACAGATGCTAAAGTATTTTGAATATCATAGTATTAAGGCTTCGGTGTGGCATAAATTTCAAAAGGAAATATTTTAACACAGATTTTGGCCAAATCCTATTTGTAGCTGTTTTTTAAACACACAACATCCACACACAATTCCGAGTGTACATTATATATGAATCATGAAAATTTTGTCTTTTAACACATAAAGCTAATCTTATTGCCCCAGCTGCCTTGTGTTTAACTGGCATCTAAGTATTAACTACCCTGAAGCTCTAGAATGATTTAGTGGGAAAATGCCCGGGGAGAGAGGTTGGGAAGATCTAAGTGCTGTGCCCTGTTCCTGCAGAGTCCAGCCTTAAAGGCTCAAGCAAGTCCTGGGCCTCCATTGCCTTGTGTGTAAAATAAGGGAGTTGGTTTTCCTTTCGTTATCAAAGGATTTTGAAATTTACTTTCATACTATCTATGAGGAAAAAAGGAGTAAGTTTACAGGGTTCACAGTCAACCAAGTTATGAGGACAGGAAAGTAAGAATACTAAAATATCAATGACAGACAGAAGCAAGTATTGAATTATCTGCTGGGAAAGACTTGTTACCAAATTTTGGTGCAGGAAGTCAAGTCTTCTTGATACCTGAGGGCTAGAATCCAAACTAGAACTAGAAGTTCAAATCGCTTTTTGATGGAAACTTTGCTGAAATGGTTGAATGTTATATACTCTTCTACCTTTAAAAGACATTGACTGTTTTAAGGTTAGTCCTCATATGAACAGAGAAAGCCAGGTATAAAGGTAGTGTCAGAGAACCACCAGGCAAAACACAGGGTGGATGCTTTAACCTAAGAGGGTGAGAGGGGGCACAGTACCACCCCACTCCCCACTGTGCCAGCTCGGAAGGTCAAGGTGTGGCAGGGCTGATGTACATCACCATGAACACAAACCACTACTGACAGGACTTTTCCCCCCAAATTCTCTCTCTTCCCAATCACATACACACATTCATTTAGTCACCAACTCTGACCTGTTTTTTCTCAGTTCAAAATTAGCAAGATTTTACAAGATAGGTTTTTATTACATTGTCACATGACTCGCAAAAGAAACATTTTCAAAATTCATACCAGCTTTTGTCTTCCGAGGTATAGGCACTACAAATTTCAATTCAAAAAGTCAAAATTTTACTGTAACCCAACTATTGAACATGCTTAATATGCTTAACACACCTGAAAACAGTTACTGAGTCTGACAGGGAGCCAACAGCAACATCAGGGTAGGAATTTCTATCAAGGTCCATATTTCCAGCAATTGAATATCCAAAAAAGCGTGAATTACCTTCAAGAACCTGAAAAGAACAGGTCATCAGAATGGACACTGGGCCACCAAAATGAGTCTCTTACCCATACTTTGAAAAAGACACCATTTTCTTTTGAACTGAAGTTTAAGAGCTCACTTATAAATAATGTTCAATTATAAATAAATCAGAAGTAAGTATACATATGATACAATACTTCACACATTTCATAAGTCACCTGATTTACACTGTATCTCAAAGAATTAAAGGGCCCATTTTTTATTAACTTGTTTACTGTATTATATTAAGTCAATCAGGGTATTTCAAACCAAACCTCTCTAACTGCCCTCCAAATGTCTTATTTTTCTCAAAAGCAATTTTTAATTTTTGGTTTCTGAATCCTTCACGCAATTACAATCACCTCTTTCATTTGTCTAGTTTCATCTCTATTTAGTATATATAGTATGCTACTAAAGGAAACACATCACATTTCCACCTACTTATGCTGCCAGTGTAGAAGAGTCTTTTCCTTTGGATTGTTTTGATTTCTAACTTATCAAAGACATTTTACATTAAAACAAGCAAGTCACTGCATTTATATCAATTTCCAATCTATCTTCAAGTAATACATTTTAAAAAACATAAGATTCATACTATTATAGATTCGTAAGATAAAACATGAATAGTGGAAAATTCATTTAAACCTAAATATTCTAACATTAGGCAAAAAGCTAAGACCATCTACTGTAGAAATCCAGGTTAACTGGTTACCTGGGTTGGTTTGGTATTTATTCCGTTCGCAGATCCGTGATAGATAAAAACCTTTCCATTATCATCATAGGGAGCTCCAACTGCAATATCTATTGACAACATCACATTTTAACAAACATTACATTTTTAAAACATTTCAATACAATGTTTTAAAGTAAGATGCCATAAGTACTCATCCATCAAATAATCTATCTACAAATCATAACCATTTCACAATCCATTATTCTACCTGGGTAACCATCTTGATTAATGTCACCAATATTTTTGACGGCAATGCCAAACATGGAGTCTTTGGTTCCATTAAGACGAATTGGCTTCACATTTTTCCACCGGCCCTGCTGGTTCATGTAGACATACACTGCGCCTCCAATTTCTCCATCTCTATCAAAATACTGTGGGGCTCCAATAACTATATCTTGCCACCTAAAAACATAAAGAGGGGAAGAACTGTGAACCGTCCGCTACAATAGTGAGCTTGAGCAAAATACCACCAGCCCAGGTACTAAGCACACGAAAAAGATATGATAAAAAGGGCCTCAAATCTGGAATTTGTATCTCTATTTTTTTAAACTGAAGAAAATTTATGGAGGGTAAGAACTTGAAGCCAGTTCCCCAAGTTAGATCTAAGTTCAGAGAGGCTCCCAGTAAAGATTCCACTCCCCCCACCTTCCGCTCCAGACCCAAACTGGCACCACCAGCCATATACCTGTGTACTGAGTTTGTCACCAATCCCTACTTCCAACAGGACATTCTCAATGTCCCAACAGCCCCTTCAGAAACTACAGAACAGAACCATGTAGGGGTCATTTTTCGAGTTAATTTGCCCCCAAATTCTAATTCTCATGTACCCATTCCCAAGACTTGAGTAAAAACCAAAAAACTGAAGAAGCTGTCATCCTACACCCCGGGGAGGGTAATGATTGCCTACAGCCAAAATGTAGTGGTGAAGACATGAAAGGATGGTAAAAAAACTGGCAGCAAAAATATTCTTTGAATCAACTAACCTGAAAGGTTGGCTCTTCTCAAGACCTGCAGAAGCCAAAGAAGCAACGATTTTTTTTGCAAATGTAAAATAACCTAAGCCACTCTCACCCGTCTTTGTTAAGGTCCACCACCGCCACATCATAGCCAAATGAAGACGCCAGACCTTCTCCTTCAAATATGTGCTCGGGGAGAAGGTGTGCGGACTTCATGTCTCTTTTCAGCAAAACCACAGCTCCACTGTGATTGGCTCTCGGAGCACCAGATACAAAAGTGATGTCATCTTTAGAAACAATCCCTTTTCCCGAGTCCAAAGAAAAGCCTAGAAAAACAAAATACAGTTCACATCAACTCTGTTTTTCAGGAGGTATCAAACTCTGGCGACTCCCTCGCTGCTTTGGTGTACCGCTTCCCACCTGGCTCCTTCCGACCCTCCCCACCAGCTATCACATTGATGATATGAAAGAGTCACAGGGCTAAGTACAGGTATGTCACATGTGCAAAGCAGCAGGCTATTTCACTTTCTATGGAATATATTCAGACTTGAAAAGAACCTATGCCATTGAGCATCTGTGTAACTTGAATCATGAAGTATTCATTCATTGTAAGAATCAGTTCGAGCCTTATTTTAATACTAGAACTGCTATAAAAGGAGATCAAGCTAGATACTGAATTATCATAGGAAACTGACATCATATACACTGAGATACAATCTGACGTTGCATAACTGGGTGCATGTTGTGGGGTTCTGCTAAAATAAATGATTTAAATAACCTCCAAACTCACCAATCTCCTTGGTAATCAGGCAAGCACAAATGCTAACGTCATCGATAGGCCACACACAGCATTTCATTATTTTGAACCCACTTAGTTCTCAGACACAAACATGCAAACAAAACTATGACTGATGAGATATAATATTTGAGAACCTAAGTAAACAATAGAGGTGAGCAGGCTGTCATCTGTATCAATTTGTTAGGAGGGGGCGAAACACATTAGAACACCTAATAGTAAGGTGTCAGGGAGGATGTCAGGTTAGAAATACAAGATTTAATCGGGAGCAAATATAAATGCCCACATCAAGACCATTCAAATTAAGGAAGTATTTCTGGAGAAAGGCAAGGCAGATGCAGAATAGTGTAAGCCCACTCTTTTTATTGGGTTTTATTTATGAAATTTTCACCACTACTGTTGCAGTTCTCAAACTGTGAAGTGAGTCAAAAAATAGGATGAGCCACAAGTTTAGAATAGGGCGATATAATCGAACCCAGCTCTGAAAACCATCTGGCGGCAGAGTCTCCACCACGGCATGCTTTTCATGCGTGCTTCACTTGAAATGAAATGGAAAATAAAAAGATTTATGCTCTGTATGGATCAAAAAAATTTTTAAACGACCATGACCAAGACAATTGATTTGTCATCTCAGAGGTCACAAACCTAGGTAGCTATTCATCATCACGTTAGGGGACGTGTCGGGCTGCTCCCTGGGAGGCTGTGTTTTATAAACAAACTGATCGGGATCTGTATAGGAAACGCTGGTCAAAAACAGCAGGCCTGTGCACCGGCGAGGGACGGAAAACAAGGGAGGAAAAGCAATTATGCTGGGGAAGAGGCTCTGCGGCGGCCACCGTTCTTGCGGGATGCCGAGGCCACCGCTGCATCTGCCAGCTTCCGAAAACTCAGGCAGATCATTTCACTCCTAAATCCCGCTGATTTTTTGAACTGACAGATGTAACAATACAAACTTGATTTTTTTCCCCCAGGCATCCACTTTTGAGGAAAGCAACAAATGCATTTCAAATCCAACTGTTCCAATAGCAGCTAAGTTTATAAAATCCATGGGCCTCTATCCTAAAGACCAAAGTGTAAGTTTCTTGCCTGAAGCCACTAAAATTAAATGTTTCTCACCGTAAGCTTATCCCTAAATAATGCATTTGAAGATACTGGTTTGTTGTTAATATTTAGCTTGAAAAACATTTAATAATTGAGACTGAAAACTGCTTGGCCCTGTGTCCCCTTCATGTCTGCAAAGTCATTCACAAACCCAGCAAGAGGGACAATACTTATTTTATAATATTGTTGGGAAGATCAAATGAGACCTGTAAAGCATTAAGTAGGTGTTTGACAAGTGGTAAGTATAACTTTTCTCCTCCCTTGTCTATGCCTTCACACCAAGTTTTTACTTTGGGGGGGGGGCAGTATCTGAAAGTTTTTTTTAAGTTAAGAGTACCTGTTCATACGTATGTATATGATTAGAACAATTTATTTTTCTAATTTTATTTTTCAGTTACAGCTGACATTTAGGACAATTTTTAAAGAATATGTTTAACATATTATTTAGAATTATTCTTATATCTATACCTATTTTTTCCTTTTCATTGTTCCAGTAATATCTTTAGCACATGGGTACTTTTCTTTTTTTTAAAAAAAAATAGGTTACTATTTGAGTTTAGGAGATTTTTTACATTTTTTTCCAAGAAATGCACAGTAATTATTCTTTATGTCACCTCATACCAAGAATTAAAGCTTTTAAAAGCCTTTGTGTAATTACCATAATGCACATGAATAATTTAGGACACACATTAGTAATGCAAACAAGTCTTAGGAGTTAAGGAGTGGGCACTTAGGACATAATCTGGGTGTCCTCAAGCTGCTTCAGTAGCCCCGCTCAGCTTCAGCTGGAAAGCCCTGTGCCAACCCGCCGGGGGCCCTGTGACATGAGGCCCCAAACTGGAAGCAGGGCCAACCCCTGGAGAAAGGCAATCACAGCGGAAGGGTCTGGGGGTCCTGACCTGCCACTTAAGAGTAACTTCATAAATGTAGCTCTTAGGAGTAGCTCTAGAGAGAGGCAGTGAAGGGAGAGGGGAGGCAGCTTGGATTATACATCTACGCGTTTTTTTCACAGCTGCATGAACAGTCTGTTTGTAGTTCCAGAGGCCAACATTCGCTCAGGGAACAGACTTCCATGCAGAGACAGACAATTTTAGGAGACAGTAGGTTTCCTTCCCACTGGAGGGAGCCCAGGTCAGAAGGGAAGGATTCCGAGCATCAGTCAGATTACCTCAGAATCACCAAGGCCTAAATCAAATTCCAGTAAGTGCAGCCACAGGCCCCTGGCTCCACCTGACCTGCCCTCAGCCCAGAAGATGAGGTCCTGAGAGGGCAGTGCCCCCACAGGCGGCTGCAAAGGCAGGCATGCGGCTAGGCTCGCTCCTACCTAAGTAACTGTTAGCAGGAACAGGAACTAGACTTTCATCATGGTCAGTCTCTCCACCAACTTCGTAAGGCCCATCTTCAAAGATGTTCATGTCAAAAAAAGTGTTATTCTTTTGTTCTACGCGAACAATCCCTAAAGGAATGAAATGGCAAAAACAAAACAAAACAATGAAGATGAAATAAAACAAAACAGGTGGTTCCTAATAAAACATTCCTCATGTTATCATTAAGTTCAGCAAGGAAAATTTTGAGGAAGAAAAGGCAGGAAAAAAAGGATGAGTTTTGAGATTATTAAAGTTAAAAAATCATGTTCATGTAAATTTGTATGTCAAAGAAAGTTGTTCTGGTAATAAAAAAAAAAAATGCCCCATGCATTTTCATGAATTACCTTTATCATGCCATGAAACTAGATGGAAATGGAAAGTTACCTAAATCTACAGAAAACAATTTTTTAAAAAATCACATAAACCTGATGATACTTTACTTTTTCTATCATCCAAAATCAATTTACCTTCTTTACCTCACTGTAAAAATGAAATTAACATTTTGACCTGTTCTTCACTTTAACCAAGATTTCATCTTTTAAGTTTTTTCATTACAGAGATTTTATACACTAAGCCCACTACGTGACTTTTTAAAAATGGTAGCCTTTTAAGTCAGGGTTTATAAAGCAGATAAGACATGTTCCCATAAATTAAAACATACATAATCGGTGGGTATTTTTATTGTTTTGTTTTACTACGTATGACATCTATTCTTGATAAAATAAAACTATTTCTAAATTCAGTGTGTTATTTTGATTAGGTCGAAATAACCTGACAAATACTGTTACGTGAAAGATTTGACTGGGGAGGAGGGGCAAAGGATACTGCCACCAAAGGTCACTATGGATCACATACAGAGAAAGGTGTTCTCAAGGATTGTATCTAATAGGAATTTTAAAAACTTGGAAATTTTTTTAATGGAAAAGGAAAATTTTACCTAAGTTTTTCTTGACTAGTGAAAATGTCCTAACAGGATTTATTTTCATAAATTTCTCAAAAAAAAAAAAAAAGAGTCTTATTTCCAAATCAGATATATTTCTCTTCATCATGGATTAGTGTTAGGTTAACTGTTCTTTATAACACAGTGTTTTTCTACAGAGAAGTTAAGCTTTTATTACAGGAGCTGACCAGGTTCATCCAGTCAAAAAATGTGGGCCATTCTCCCCCTTCCCTCCCTCCCAATGTCTCATTTTACTACATCACAATGATAATAAAACACCTTTTCTGCAAGTTATCTGAAATTATCATCTCAAAATTCCCTAATCTGTCACCTACCCTTCTAACCTATTAGCAAAACACAGCATTTTAAGATAAGTATATATAATGAAAGAAATGTCTGTATTAAGAAACTGTTATTTGTACATGACAGCACTCAATTCTTATCAGTTTTCAGATCACTACCTTAAAATTGAAAATTTCAGCTTCATGAAACAGGCAAATATAAAACAGCAAAACTGCCAGTGTTAATTATTATACTCTTACAGAAAAAAGTTTATTTGTATTAATGAAAATTACTGGTGGGGGGAAAAAACCTTTTAAAACATACGCTCCCACCATTATTTGTTTTTAAAAATCATATAATTTAGCGATTTTAATATCCTACTCTTCTATAACGTACAAGTACCTTATAACACATTATGTTTTAATTTAAAATATACCGAATCACGGTGCATATAACAGAAATTCTGTAGTCATTCTAATCTCCATTTCTATAAATACATACATCATACCTTTCCAGTTATAAGTGCCCGGGGCTCCAAATACAATGTAATGGAAGTCTTTAGTAAAAGTAGCTGCTACACCTTGCTGGCAAGAACCAAACTTTTCATGGCCTCTCAGTCGGCCATCACAAAAACTCCAGTCTCCTCCATCCATCTCATCTTCAATCCTGAGGTTCTGACTCAGGACGTAACACCTTCCAAAGATGTCCCGGGATTCCTGCTTTGTATTAACGTGTTGCCTTTTTTCATATCGATGAGCACATGTCTGCAAACAGATGGAATAAAGTAGCCCATGCCTGCCTACAAACCCTATGTTTTTTTATTACAAATTGATACAACTGTCAATAATAAAGAGGACGTTAAATGTGTCCCCATCCTGGGATTGGATCTGAAGCCGGCAAATCTTCCCCAAAGTGTCATTAAGACCGTTACCCAGCCTATAGAAACTATAGGACTTCTGTCTTATTTTCACCCAGAGAATAATGCTCCGATCTGAATATTGAATGCCAATCTGTAACACACAGGCAATTTACCTGCCACATAAACAATGGAAATACCTTATTTCATTTTCTTAATTTAACCAGCTTAGTGGCTGTACAAACCTTCACATCAGTATGTTTGTGAAAATAACATGGCCCAGAAGAGAGAAATCATGGGCATATTTTCATAGGAATCAGGCAAACACAGCAAAAACAGACATTTTCCTTTTACCCACTGTTATTTCCTTATAATCCTAAATTCTAATTTATACTCTAAGCTCTCAGATCAAATTTATAACAAGGCAGAGAGAATTACACTGCTGGGAGAGATGAAATAATCTCTATAGTTTTACAGGGTATTAAAGGTTGCACTCCATGTAACACAGGCTGAAAATACTTGACAATATCCAAGTCAATTTCCCATAATATAGCCCCTTAAATATCAAAATTCAACGTTCAATAAAATTCTCATTTTCCTCCAAATTCTATACACACTTGTTACAGCGACCAGATTTCGAAGGAGGCATGGAAAGAGCATCTAGCATAATCCACCTAACAGACCCTCTCCTTTTCGCTATCGCTTCTATTTGCAGAAGCTCAGAATCAATCATGAGAGTTTAAAATGATCGGATCTTACTTTCCATGACCATTCCCATTTTTTTGTATCTCATCTATAAAAGCTACTTAGTTCCTGGGATGCTTTTTTTTGTTTTAAGACCATCTAGGGTTTAGGATGTTCAAGAGGTTTTTTAGGAAGTTCTTTGAATTTGAATGTTCTAAAGAAAATGCTGTTGTGTTCACTGCGATAAGCCCGGTGCTCGGACATCATGGAATGAACACGCTTCTCTACACTCACCACAACTTTGCCGCCGGGACCCTGGCTCTGGACGGTGACCCCCATCCACTGATCTTCCTTGCTTTCCGATGAAGGGTCAGCTGTGGAAAGCAGCACAGGTTACATATGCTTAGTTAGGACTGAAACAGGCAATGAACCAACAGATGAACAAAAATGCAAGAAATGGTCTCTAACCAGCTCGATTCCAAGTGTAACTACTCAATAAATTCAGTTCCTCAATCCAGAAAAATTACTTCCTAAGAAAACAGATGGGTGATGGTGGGTAAGAATCTTTCATAAAATTTTTTACATAAAATACTTAGCTTTACCAAGTGGCCCTTCACCCTCTCTGACACCCAGAGTCCTGAGTACAGAGAGGTATTTGAAAATTTAAGACTAAGGGGGGGAGAGGCTCCAACATAAGTCCCTTAAAGCAACAATGTCAAAACTGAACTTCCAAAGTCCAAGTGACATCCAAACTAAGAAAAAGTGGGCACTTCTCTACATACTCCCAAAATGATTACATTACAGCATGAATTGTTCTTCTCTTTGCTGGAGATAGGAAGATAAGACCTCAGATTCATTTGATAGCTTTCTACCAATGCCAAACAAGAAAGGGAGGTATTTCTTCTCATCCTTTCTCCCCAAACAAAAGAGAAACCACAAATACCACCACGTGTTCATTTCAGTATCAATTTGAACCTACTGTATTACCTTAAACCCAAATTTTTGCCCTTCCTCAATGAGAAGCATGGCAAGCACAGTTTTCAATCTTAAATCATTATGAAACTATGGAAACTAAACTTCAAGTAGACAGAAGGGAAATGCCAAAATGTTAAATAAAGAGCGGTTATGTCTAGATTACCAGTGGGTTTTTCTTAATAGGTCACTGCCATTTATAAGTTTCCCACAAATGACGTGTATTATTTTCTGATCATTTAAAAAAATCATTTCTATAACATGATAAAGCAAGAGAACATCAAAATAAAACATGAATCTGCAAATCTACTTAGTCCAAGTATGTCAAATTAGGTTTGGTTGGAGCTTCCCAGTACCCTAATTGCTCTGCCCAACATACAGCCCTCACCAAACAAGCCTCTATCTGAGACAGTAGGGCAAAGTTTATCCATGTTGGTCAGCTCTCATTTTAGAGGGATCTGAAATTTAAAATGGGCTTTCTCCCAAATATTTTAATAGCAAGTGAGATCTTTTGGCTGTGTACAAGGTATGCATTCAGTTTTCTTCTCTCCTCTGAATTCAGTGACTTCAACACGTCACTAGGTGGCAGCATCGATACACCCTACCAGTTTATGAACCAGGTTAGGAGGGGCAGCGACAGGGTGAGTGCATCTGAACATGATTTACAAAGTAGTAAATGCTTTCGGGGCAAACAAGAAACAGTTAAGGCTGATGCAATTAAAAGAGGCTCTGTCTCTAAGAATGAATGCTTGTACGCCCTTTCCTTCCTCATGGAAAAGGCAAGTGGTACAGAAGAGCTGGCCAAGTGAACACGGAGTGAGTGCAGAAGAACCCACCGTCGTTATCAAATTCAATCCGTGTGCAAGGGTTCCGGGAGGTGATGTCGCAGCTGTACAAGCCTCCTGTTCTGTTGGCCCTCTGCAGCGGAAGGGCCACTGCCCGAGGGGCCCCCACGAGCAACCTGTGGACGAAACAGAGAATTTGGAGATGTGAGTTTAATACGCATTTAACATTTCAATTAGTCAGTACCAAGAGATACGGGGATCATTCTTTGTCAAGGAGTCCACTAATTCTCTGCCAGCTTAGGCAGTGAGAGGGAGCAAAGGCAGAGTCCTGTGACTTCAACACACACACACACACACACACACACACACACACACAACTACTATGCAAGTNAGTCAGTACCAAGAGATACGGGGATCATTCTTTGTCAAGGAGTCCACTAATTCTCTGCCAGCTTAGGCAGTGAGAGGGAGCAAAGGCAGAGTCCTGTGACTTCAACACACACACACACACACACACACACACACACACACACACACACACACACACACACACACACACAACACTACTATGCAAGCCAAGCACAAGGAGAGGGGTGGTTAAAACCAGGAGAAAAATATGCTCATCTCTCATAGTATCAGCAGCTCTCTCCCAAGTATGATTCTGATGTTTAAAAAGACACATTTCATAGAACATGACCTCTACACCCAAGCCAAGGACATCACATGGAACTGAACAGACAAAACCAAGAGTCCCACACTGGAAGGGGGAAAGTGGTCACGTTAAACTTAACAAGTGATACTTTGCCAATTTCTAATATGTACTGTGCCGTCCTGAGGTATTTTTCAAAGATAATTTTGACTATACCCTAGATTTCAGTTTCTATATTGTTAAGTTAAACAAGGAGGCTATTATACTGACATGGCTCTAATGTCATGGTGGCCTACGTGAGGAAAAAAAAAAAAATCTAAGCTTATAAATATCTCAAGGTTACAAAATCAAACCCTAAGGACAACCAATCACAAGCAGCCAATGAGGCTTTAACCTATAGCTGATCAAATAATTTCCTTTCTTTGCTTCCTTGCTTTGTCTATGTAAGTCTTTCAGAAACTCCTGTTGGTGGAGCACTCCCAACCACTTCTAGTTTGGCAATTTGAATCAATTTTTGTTGAAATAAACTTGTAAAAATTTTAATATGCATCAGTTTATCTTCTAACAATACTGAATACTGATTTAGAACCTAACCTTTGCCCAAGATAAAACTCAAGAAATTACTCTCTTTTGTAGTCTTGGCCTCTTTCCCCATCAATTCTTACTTCTTGGTACTCTTACAATCGCCGACAAACTCCTCCACTGTCACCCCATCAGTCCTGCACAAAGGATTCAGGGAGGGTCTGGGTAGTGCCATTTATGTACTAGGCATGATATTCTTTCTTTCTCCCACCCCAGTGCTCTTGTTATCTCCTATACGAGGGGTCCCTAACCCAAACATACAATCCTCAAAATCTCACTGTTCCACAGCCAGGATGGATCTTTGGAGACCCACTACCCTTCTTTTTGCTAATGCTCTTTACCCACCATCAGTTTTACAATCTTTGGGATCTGGCTGACTGGTGGAACAAATGCAAAAAGAAACAAAGAAAGAACACACACCTGACTGGACAGAGAGAAATGAGGCTGGAGCTGGGGAAAAGAGCTGAGAAAACAACTATGAGCAAACAAACTCCCTCAAACAGAAAACAAGCCACGCCTGGCCTTTAGGAAATCCACAAATCTCAGATGCAGAAGAAAAAACAAACAAACAAAAAAACAAACCAAAAAAAACCCCCCCAAAAACCAAACAGTCCCTACCACATCTGTCCCTGCTGTGATCCCAAGAAAGGATTTACTGTATTTTTCTTAACCAATGCAATGCAGTTGGTGCAACAGGAGGAAAATGCACTCAGAACACAGAGGGGGGACCAGGCTCTATCCAGGGAGAGCCTGTGAAGCAAGGTCTTGCAGACTTAGTAAGGCTTGGCTCAGGGGGAACACGTTCCCCTACGGCTCCATCCTTCCTCCCAGACTCCTGGATGGTGGCAGGGGGGTCTCCACTGAGCCACCCCATACCTATCCCATTAATGTCCATGACCCCACAAGCTCCGACAAATAGCTGAGAGGTGAACTGGCCTAGGCCGGAAAGAATAAGCTCAATCACCCAGCAGATGTGGGGATGGAACCCTGTCCCAGGTCCGGGGAGGGCTAAGCAAGTGCGGGAGTGAGAATCAGTCACAGGGTGTGAGCACCCGCAGCACCAGCGAGCACATCCCGCCCTCTAACTTACAGACGGGAGCACAGAGACCCATGGAAGGAGGGTAGTGGCTCTGCCCCAAGATCTCACAGCTAGCTGGCAACCAGGACAAAAATTACTTTGGAGCAATGTTTTCTCCATTCTTTTAAAATGCTTCCTAGGAAATAAAACTCAAGAGTGTAAGGCATTTTCAACCTAGCTGAAAGGGCAACTCCTACACGGATGAAGCACTGAAGTAAAAGCTGCACTGTAAGATTGGAAAAGGTGGCGTGAAGGCAGTCAAGGCCGGGTTGCCGGTGGTGGGGTGAAGACCCGCGAAGAGGTTTCCCGCAAAGGTAACAGCCTCCAACGCGAAGGCTACAAGGAGCAGCCGGAGTCCAAGGTTATTCCTGTCTTCTCTGACCACCTCCTCGCCCCCTCGGCCATGCCCAAGGAGGCTGGCAAGCTACCCGAGGCAGGTAACGGGCTGCTTGTTTCCTGTTGACTGCAGTTGCTCATTCCTTCACTTATTCATTCCACAAACACTCAAGAGCCTCCCGGGGTGCATGGGGACTCCTCCTCTCCCTCTCCCTCTCCCGGCCAAGCTCTTCCTCGTGAAGCCACATCCTTAAGCTGCTCGTTAAACCCCAGGGAGGTAGAGGGAGGTAGAGAAAAGGCGAGGGCGCACCGGAGCGCTGCGCGCGGTCCAGAGGGGGCGCCAAACCCTGCGGGCTGCGGGGG